TCTTTTATTTTCAAGTATAAATAATAAGTAATTAAGTCTCACATTAGTTAGACATGAACTACAGCAGTGGTGGACCCAGGAAAAAAAGTTCATGTCCGCACAGTAAGTAGCGAGGGTTCGGGGGTTTGACTTATCAATGTAGGAAAAACATATAGGATAAATAGCAATTCTAGGCAGATAGAAATATAAATTAGTAAAAAATGATGTATAAATTAAGGAAAAAGTATGTGTCATTTTAAAAGATATAAAATTGTATCATTTTAAGTGAGAGAAAGAGATAGATCATGGGGGAGAGAGTGGACAAAAAAAAGTGTGGGTTCCACCTTTTTGTGAGAGTAAAATGACACAAGTTGTATCATTTAAAAGGACAAACACTTTTTCCATAAATTAAATGTTACTAGTGAAGCAAGTATGACAGTGAAGCTATGTCCAATGATTGTTGAGTTGAGCGATTGAAGTGTACAAACTTAGAAAATCAAGTCATCCTATCTCTTAGTTACTACATGAAAAACAGTATTATGCCATAAAAATTAGTGACATTTAATCTCAACACAAAAAAAGTATTCAACATCCTATTGCAAAATTAACATTGACTAATATAAATATTGAACAAGAGATACATAAGGACAGATAACAAAAAAAAAAATCTAAAATCTAAATTTCATGTCCGCAAGTGCGGACATGTGCCCATATGTGGGTCCGCCGTTGAACTACATCAAGACAATATAAGCAAAACCACTTGTAAAATTAATATCTAAGATTTTGAGTTAAGGTATCGTGTCAAGCTCCTTTACGGTGGTTTTAGTTTAATACTTAGACTATCACTAATAATCTCCCTTATTAGAGTCTCATGTCTATCATAACAAGTGATATTAGAGCTAAGAAATCAACCTTTGATCAATGAAATGAATGTAAGCTTATTTAGCTCTCTATAAGTTAATCTTAACTAGCATTAGACGCTTAGGCTAAAAGAGTAAAACAATTGGGGGTTTTTTTCTTGCTCTCTTGGATTACTCAGAAGGGTTACAAATGACCCAAAATTATCAAAGGGAAAGTTTCTTCTTTGTAGCACTAGATGTTAGAACAATTTATCTTCTAATATAATTGTGGGCTACATATTTAAATATCAAGTATGTCGTTGCTATTTAATTATTGGGAAAATTATGTGATCAATATAAAGGATTCCAATTAGATTCCTAATTTGGTATGGGCTTGATGAGTGGATACTTAATATTGGCCCAACTAGGTGTAATGGGTGCCTAATGGAACAATATATAAAGAAACTAAACCTAGGGTTGTGGTTCCTAAGACGTCAAATCAGTTTCAGTTTATTTCTTCTAGGGCTGGCAAAACGGGCCAACCTGACCCAACCCGTGTTCAACCCGAAAAAAACGAGCCAGGTTAGAGTTGGCTCGAAAAATAAACGAGCCAGAAAACTCAACCCAACCCGACCCAAGTCGGATTAGGGTTGGCTCGCGGGTTGACTCGAAAAAATCGAAAAAATAAATAAATTCCATTAATGCTATAACTTCTAAATTTTTTTCCTAAATTATACAGATAAATCATAGAAAATTTTGCATTTGGACTTGGACTTATTGGCAGTTGGTACCACATTCACACTGTCACACATACTATAAAAAAATGTCCTTAATGCACGGTTTTGGACTTATTGGCAGTTGCAAGGTATTTTCGTTTGGATCTTTGGAATTGGGATTTTAGATTTTATATACTTTTATATTAAAAAAAAAATCATAACCCGCGAGCCAACCCGTTTGACCCGTGGGTTGGCTCGATTTTTTTCGAGCTGAAACGAGTCGGGCTGACTCGAGTTACTAACTCATTTTCCCTAACCCAACCCGACTCATTTTAGCCGGATTACGAGTCAACCCGATGGGTCGGCTCATTTTTGCCGAGCCTAATTTCTTCCAATCTAGAGAGAATATTCTTTAAGGAACGATTTGACTGAGCAAGGCCAAAACTCATAAGGAAAGGCTAGAGACTTAATAGGATCAAAGATACATCGTTGCTACAATGGAGACATTTATGCCTTATTTGTTTTATATTTCTTGATGATTCAATATGATATATCTAGGATTTATTGGGCGATGGTTTACACTATAAGGATTAAAGAATTAATTTCCATCACTAGAATCTGCAAGGGAAGTATTATTATTCTCCTTGTTCATTTTTCAAATCAATTCTCTCAACTTCTGCCTCAATTCAAGGTAGGCCCAGTTCTTCCTTTGTTGGCTTAAGAGTTTTTTCCTCTTTGTCCCCTTTCTCTTGTCCCTCATCCTCATAAGCATCGTAATCCTGTAGTTGATTTCTATTATAGCCCCCCACACTGCCAAGTTTCGATGCATAATTGGAACCATAACCACAATAGAATTTCTTTTCTAATAAAATCAGCCACTTACAAAATTGTAATATCGAAAGCAGTATCCTATACCCCGGATAGGATTTTTTTTTTATGTTTGAACAAAAGGGAAAAACTAAAACATATTACTGATTACAAGTTCTTGGGCTAGCAATGCCCATCAAATCCCTATGTAGGAGGTTTCTGCACTCGGTTAGTGGTTCCTAGATAATAAGTAAATGCAAGCATGTCTACTATCATATTTTCTTCTCTGTAAGTATGACTGATCTTGGTTGCCCATTGTCTCTGGCATAAATTGAATTTGCTTCACCAGAGGTGCAATATGATGATGTTCCCCATAGTCCCCAAAAATAATATTTATAGCAGCTTGAGAGTCCCCGGCAATACAAATTCTTTGAACTACCAAATCCCACGCCACCTGAATACCATGTAAAAGTCCCCAAACTTCATCTCTCAAGGATGAACCGCTGCCTAGATTTCTACTAAAGCCTACTATCTATCTTCTTGCATCATCTCTAATGACACCACTGCAACTAGAGTGAGCTCCTCCACTGTTGCTCTATCCGTCTGCATTGAGTTTGAGCCATCCGTCGGCCGAAATTTCCAGTAGATAAACTTACTACCATGATGCCTATTTGGATGGTCTCTCCTTTCAAGTTTGTCATGTAGATTTTAGCCCTTCTGATAATAGAATCTTGGTAATACACTTTCTAGTTGAAGATCATATCATTCCAAATGTGCCAAACCGTGATACCGAAAGGTTGATCCAATCCCACATAGAATCTAAGGTTTCTTAGATTCGAGGTTCGAAAGAATTAGGTCTCGGAGATTCTTCTCAAAGAAATATGGTTGGATGTTCTGATGAAGAATGAGGGTCAAAATTTCTTGGGAGTGGATCCTCTCATGTGAAAAAGTGGCCATGTGATCATGTTATTTGATCATAACCATTCATTGATGATGAGATAAGAAAGAGAAAAGTGTATAATTTTTGGATCCAGATCCTCTCATGTGAAAATTCACATGACCATGTCATGTGGGGAATCATAACCATACAAAGGTAGATCAATGGTAAAAAAGGAAGAGAGAAAAAATGATAAAATAAGTAGTTACAAAATCATAACCGTTGATTTACCTTTGTATGGTTGTGATCTTCCCACATGACCATATCATGTTTTTTTGACACATGAGAAGATCCATTTCCATAATTTTTAAACGAGTGGTTGTGATCAAATAACATGACCACATGACCACTTTTCCACATGAGAGGATCCACTCTCAAATTTCTTTGCTCCAAATACAATCTCTTAGAACATGTATCAACTCTTATGGAGCACAGTTGCACCATAGGCATAAAGTGCAAGTAGTTAAATGTCTCTGACATCATGAACTCAACACATGCTCTAACATCATGAACTCAAAAACAGTTTCCATAACAACATCCAAAATATGATCTCCATGAAACTCCAATAAATTTAGGAAAACTTACTACCAATCACTTGCAAATGGCCAAGGAGCAAGTATCAAGCATCCATGCAAGCCAAACAACTCTCAACACTCATGAACACTCAAATTTTCTTGGCCTTCTAGGGGAATGATCTCCTCACACAATGGTTTTTAGCAAGAGTGCAAGCAAGGAAAGTTGTTCAAGAGAGGGAAAAGAACAACTTTCATGTTGGGAGTTAAGGATAGAAGTGGCTAGAACTCAAGATGTGTGGAACTCGAAATATACTATTACCATTCCATAACACTAGTAAGAATACAAATTTAGGGGGTGTTTGGTTCAAGTTTTTGGAGAGGATTACCGGTAATCCTTCTTTGGTAAATGTAATTACCACGTTTGGTAGAAGGAATAAATTACGATTCCCGGATATCCAAGGATTACCGGTAATTTGATTTATAAAGAAAAGTCACTATTCAGATTACCAAAAATAATATGGTAATTCGGAATACCAATCAGAATACCAAGTAAAGGGAAAGCACAACAATAAATTTTGAGACAAAAATACTCCAATACACATAAAAATCTAGACCCAATCTATCAATTACAAAAATAAAAATTGTTTGGGGTTATTTTTGTAAAATAACCTCATATTCCAAGTCATATTTCGTTCTAAATCAAATATGGAATAAGTAATTTTTACCCAATATTCCCGGTAATATTTTGGCGAACCAAACACATCTTTTGTAAGATTCCAAGTAAACTCAATCTCTACTGAATTCCCATTAATCATGATTCCCGGTCACCAAAAAATTTCTCTTGTACCAAACACACCCTTAGAGTGAGTTTACTAACTGGGATACACTAGTATGCATATCCCATACGTCTTAAAGAGTTTATCAAAGTTTCAGACAATCATATATGGCAATCTTCATCATCAACATGAATCAAAGTTTAAATGGGATGCAACTTTCAACATTCCTCCAATCAAGCATGTTTAGAAATTAAACAAATAAAGGAAGACTCATATATAAACGGGTGGCAAAGGACAGAAGCATAGAAAAAGAAGCTTTGACATCCAGACCAAGAGTAGGTTCCATTTGCTCATGCTCTACGCACTCAGAATAATTATAAATTAGGATAAAGTGCCTTGTGCACATCAAATTTCTTATCCAAATCGTAGAGTAGACAATTTCTTTATTAATGGGGCAAAATCATGACATGTTAATGAAATCTTGTGTGGGGAATGAAGGAGGCCAAAAAATAAGATCGACCCAATATGAATATTGAGAGCAGATTGAAGTTTATACAAAACAGGTAATCGGGAGAAAAGTTTGACACTTCTTGCTTATTATATTCTTGGAGGGGGAGCTACATGAGTACCCCGGTGTAAATATGAAGTTTCATTAGCAACTGATTCAGTGTGAATGTTAAGTTTCATAAACAAAATCTCCAACCAAAATACCCTGCAACAGGAACAAAGTCCCATCAGATGCAAGGCATAATAGTAAAAAGATGATATAAATATATTATAAATAAAAGTGCCATTAAAAGGAAGTTAAAAGTGAAATTTCATACCATGTCAACGATAATCAATGAAACTCATTGGGGTTTCCTTTGCTTCGGATGAGAGGAACACCATCTTCCCTCCAAACTATACGCTCTTCACATAAAGCCTCTACCACCTCCACATATAACTGGTGCTCCTAAATTTGGAAATAAAAATGAATAAAAATCAATTGGAGTCCATCTTTTCAGTCTGCTAAATTGCTAGCCTTTTGGTTGCATAACTGTCAAGGTACATCAATGCTTCCTATGACAAATATATTCATTGAATTTCATTCAGGATTAAAGCAGTTCAAGGATTTAAAATGCCATCATTATTTGGGAGCTGATTGATTATAGAAGCTGCCGTTACCTCCCTAAGAACCCTTGCAGCCAACTCCTCTGCAGTATCATTAGCAAGCACAGGGACAACACGCTGGGCAAGGGTACGTCCCGTGTCATAGTGTTCATCGACAAAATGAACAGTAGGACCAGAAAATCTAACCAACACAGAAAAATGAAGACATAAGTAGTTAAGAACCAAGTACAACAGTGTTTCACTCAAACAGAGAGATTCTGTGAGAAGAATACCTTGCTCCAGAAGCAATTACTGCTTTATGCACCTTCATACCATAGTAACCCTTGCCTCCAAAAGCTGGAAGAAGTGATGGATGAATGTTTAATATAGATCTTTCATAAGCACGGATCAATTCCACTGGTATAAGTTTGAGGTATCCAGCTAAAAGAATAAAATCAACCTCAAATCTCCTGATAAAAAAATGTGTTTATATGTTAATGATATAACCACGTTTCCATAACAGTCTTTTTCTGTTCCCTTTTGTAGATTTAGCCATAGTTGTGCTACACTGGCTTTTTATTTGAATTTCAACTTTAAAGCAAAGCATATACACATCAGATTCATTAAAAGTCTAAACTCTAAAGTTAAATGCAATTGCAGGAAATGAAATAAAGAAACATCTGAATATCTTACCTTAGTGTATCAACGAGGTCACTAGGAGATAATCCATCGCATTCATCCTTTGCTTTTGGGAACAATAAAACCGGGATTCCATTATTTCTTGCATACTCTGCACCTCCACACTCTGGGATAAAAATAAAAATAAAAATAAAAAAACAAAGAAGAAAATTTTAGTACCCCAAGACTCGAAATAAAAGGTGAATCAAAACGTAGTCCCAACATCCAATGTCACACATGACAAGCAGCATCAATACACAATGAAGTTTCCTCCTTCTAGCCACAAGTATAATAAATATCATCTTCGCAGGAAACCATCTTAATCCATTGACTATTATGATCTAAAATTGAAGAAAATAGGCTTCAAGGAAAAGTACTACTACTAGAGGCCAAGTAAGAATGTAGCTAAGCTAAAAGATAACATAGAACCATGAAAAATTACATTATTTTGCAAAAGGGCAAAACTGAAAGCAAAGGGGTAGTTGAGTTAGACCATTACCGCTTTTATTTGTGACCAGTACAAGAACATCTCCATGAAGTGATCCCCTTTTGGATGCCTCATGAATTGATCTGAAGTTGGATCCTCCACCAGACACAAAAACTGCCAGCTTTTTCCTTCTCACCATGACCTGAGCTTTCACCCCATGCCCCTCCTTTGGTTCTGTAGAAATATTACTCCTGCTACACCATATTCTCCTCCTAGAACTAGAACACACTCCTCTGTGAACAGTGCAGATGGCATGAAAAGCTCCACTAGGAGGAACCTCAAGATTCTGGAACTGAATAGAAGGGCATAAAGAAGAAGAAGAAGAAGGTAAAGTAGGGAACTTTAAAGAGAATGGTTGTTTTGCAATTGGAATTGATGACACTGATGATGATTTTGGACAAAAGCTAGAAAGAATTTGTTGAGCTTCCATGGAAATTTTAATTTGAAGATATCAAATGTTTTGAAATAAAAAAATAAAAAATTAATTTGGACAAAAAAAAAAAAAAAAAAAAACGCCGCTGGTCGCTACTCGCTAGTCTTCGCAGGGGGAAGGGTTTGTCGAAAAGCGGGAGTCACGAAGAGGCTTGTCGAAGGTACAGATACTCTAAGGGTCAAAAGACAAAAAGACCCATAAATTATTACTGTTAAATTTTAAAAGGAGGGTACATATGTAAACTTGCACATCCAGAATTTAAAAAGTATGAGCGACGAGCTGGGAAACTGATTGAATAAGTGGAGAAGACAAGGAAAAATAAAAGGAACACTGGTCTAATAAAAATTAGCAAAGTGATATGTTTTGAAAATTATTCGTTAAAATAAAAGGGCAGGATATATTTAAATTATTAATTTTTAATAAATTATAATTATTAAATTGATTGAAATGGTAAGAAAAGATAAATTAAATTGGTGATAAGTGAATCTCACCCCTAAAATAAATATAACGTATAATATGAAAATTATTTTATGAAGTGATATAATTTGTAGAGGTGTCAATATAGGTTATGACACGTGAGTCGACACGTAAGTCGACCCGTAACACGACACGAAAATTCGTGTAATGTGTTGTGAATTTGCCTTCATCATAGTGCTAGCAATTCTGATCAAATGTTCAGGGGAAAAAAATTGAAAAGGATTTAATGAAGTTAGGTATGGTACACGACTCCTATCTCTTATCTGCATATATTTTCCAGTTATACTCCATTATGCGTGTAATGTGTTGTGAATTTTTTAAGCCTAATAAAATTCTCTGTGTCCAGGTCATACTCCTTTTATGGTGGATTTTGAGATATCTTTGGCGAGGTATCGTGACGCTAGTCCTGAGGTTGTAAACTGGATTGATAGCATTCCCAGGAAAGTGGTCACGTGCATACGACGTGCAGGGAAGAAGATATGGACATATGATAACAACATTGTCCAAAACAGTAAACAAATTTTTAAAGAGAGCTAGAAACATGTCAATAACTACCTTGGTTAATCACATATACAATAGACTTGTCTGTTATTTTGTTACCAGGGGTCAAAATGCTGCCAAGGAAATACATTCTCCTCATCGTCATTGCAAGTATGTTGTTCGGAAGTTGAAATATAATAAGTCTCTTGCTACAAGCTATCATGTGCATACATATAACGTTAGTGAAACAATATTCAAGGTGAAGGTGGACGAGGGTTATGAGAGGTCATATTCTATCAACCTGCCAAATTGGTGATGTCAATGTGAAAAGTTTAAGGCCTTCAAATACCTATGTAGTCATGTCGTAGCAGCTTGTTTACCTATTCATGTTCGGCCATCACAATATGTTGATGATGTATTCTTAATGACTAACCTGGTCCAAACGTACTCATTTTTATGGCAATCAATTAAGAATAAGTTATTCCACCCAGTGCAGATCCAGTTGTCATACTTGATAAGTCTATGTTGCATGCAAAGGATTGTCCAAAGTCAACGAGAATACGTAACAAAATGAATCAAGTTAAAATCAGTTCTAGTCGCATTAAGTGTAATATTTGCAAATAACTCGATCATCATTGAAGGAATTGCCCTAATCGTGGAGCTAACCAGTGATTATGTTTTATTATTATTTTAAGGACTTTATGGTATTGTATGTTGTTTTTGTCTTGGTTTAGCTATCGATGTATTGAAATTTAATCAATATTCAATGTAAGAAATGTTATGGTTGTCTATCAAATAAATATTTTAATGACATAATCAAAAGTAATGACAACAAATATAAAATGTACATAACATAATAAAGTCACTAACATAAGAAAGTCCATGTTCATAACAAATATAAAATCTATGATGGAGGAGGCCATTGTTGATGACGTGCCTGACGGTCTGGCAACCTGCAAATGCCTCCTCAATATGCCTATCATGATCTTATGTCTGACTACTCTAAGACTAACTACTCTGAGTCTCACTACTCTGATCTTGACTATGCCCAGATGCCATGGCCACTGGACTAGCCTGATATACCTGTTGGCTTTGCGAGTCCATCGGTGGATACGTTCCAGCTTGGCTAGGCTGATATGCCTGCTCCTGCATATTGGGTGCATAATAATGAGGTTGACTGCCATAAATGGGGAACATGGGCGGCCTATACCATCCAGATGTACGCGGCCTAGGCGATGATATAGGCTCCGACACTGGAGGCATTGGCCGACGACGGCGTCCAAGCCCACGACCTTCTTTCGCATGACGCCCAACGTCCACAGACAACTGTGCCTCATCCGGAACCTGTGTCGGGGGTGCCTCCGGTCCTGCCTCCTCAATTCGGGATGTCTCTTTGAAAATAGCAATAATACGACCAATCTCCGCATTAATAAACTCCAGAGTGTAGTTTGGGAATTGGTCCGAAGTGGTCATGAAATGTAACATCTCTAATCCATCAACCTATAAGTCACAACATAAATAAATAAATAAATAAATAAAACATATAAATAATTACAATACTTGACTAGCAAAATGAAAAAATTAACTTACACAACGTCCTATCTTGGCAGCCCTCCTAGTAATGTAGCGCCTGCCTCTCTGCCTGAACCACTCCATATACCCATGGTTCGGTGACATGAGACCCTCCATCAGAGCTGGCATCTCTATGTTTTCTCCTCTGGTCTCCCATCTCCGTATGAACTTTTTAAGCTTCCGCGGCCAGTTCTCATCCATTTTACCCCGAAGGGTATAATCGTGGACACCACACAACTTTCTAGGCCGAATAGGTATCGGCTGATCCCTGCCAAATTGGCGCATACATCTGTCAGGCTGGGAATACTCAACGATATGAAAACATATAAGAGGTGCCACAGCCATCCATAATCGCTGTCTCTCAACAGTTGCACCCATAAAATCATAGCCTAGATATGGTTGCCAGACCACCTATATAATAAACAAATATACAGTCAATTGAATTTTCATATTTTTCAAAATTCATGTTTGGATGTAAAAAGTTGTTTGAATTAAAAAATAGAAAACATACCTCATCTCTGCACAATGTGTCTAATCTATCTCGATACCAAAGTAGTTCATGAAGTTTAAAACGCCCTAAACCATTAAATCTGGAAGAAAAAATTAACACAATCATTAATTCCAATACTCACAAAGATATAATGAATTAGCCAATATAATAGATACATACCGATGTCCAAAGTGCCATTCTGGTTGAGTAGGAAGAGGGATAGGAGGAGCAATGGGTGGGAATCTGAGCCAAGCCCAGATTTGTAGCAAAGTGGTGCACCCACCAATGTCAGATCTGTCGACGTCTGTACACTCACATAATTGTCGAAATAAGTGTGCCAAAACTGCAGACCCCCAACTATAGCTCCCAATATCCTGAAATTCTCCTGCAAGTAATGGAATGTAGCGACATCCAGCTACACTACCCCCGGATCTGTCGCAAAGGAGCCATCCTCCTATCATGCGCGCGATATGTGCCTTTGTGTAATAAATTGCATTATGGGGATTATCAGCGACTGCACGCCAATGTGCATATACCCTATCAAAATATGACAGCCTAACATTACCTGAAGTTAACTCAGTATTCTCATTAGGCCCATTCCCGAAGACATGGTTACACACTTCTTGCCAATCCATGGTTGTAGCTCCACTAACTACTTTCCCTTCAGTAGGCAATCCAAGAATAGCCGCTACGTCTTGCAACGTAATAGTCATCTCACCTTGCGACATATGAAAAGTGTGTGTCTCTGGTCTCCACCTCTCAACCAAAGCACTGATGAGGCTGGCATCGATCTAAAAAATGTAAACAATTTGTCAATTTATATGTTCAAATATACCAATTTACAATGACTATATTACAACACAATATAATATATTTAATTTAAAAGGCATACCTGCATATGTTGCATGCGCGCGACATGTATAAAACCAGCTTGGGTCAAGTATTGCGCAACCACATCTGGAATATCATCTGGCTGGGGTCCACCAGTGCCCCGGGCTCCTCTGCGAATCTTTAGGACCCTTTGCGTCTCCTCGTTCCACACAGCTTGTGAAACGTGCTTGCGCTGTGTGTGCCGCCTAAGTACGTCCCACTGGTGAGGTCCAGGAAGAACATGCGTCATAGGATCGCTTGGCTCCGGCTCACAATCAGATCCCCCGTGCGCGGAAGACCGAGGAGACTCAGACGATGAGGAGTCAACCATAATAACATACTATATAAATTTACAAACATACTGTTATAATTTATTTAATTAAATATATTTAAAATGTCTAATAAATTTAAAAATATACTAAATCACACCCATTCATTCATTATTTTTAAAGCAAAATCACTAAGCATAATAAAATTTATTAAGCATGTCCTAAGTAGCTAGACATAATAAAATTTGCTAAGAACAAAATTAATAGGCATGTTATAAGTCACTAAGCATAATAAAAATTAAGTATAAATAAAATCACTATGCATATATTATAAGTCACTAATCATGTCTAAGCCACTAACCATGTTGTAAGTCACTAACCATGTCACTAAAAACATCCTAGGTCACTAAAATAAGTAACTAACCACATCCTAGATCACTATTATAACATATCTATTGCTTTAATTTAAAATATAGAAAGCAAATATTAAGACTTACTTGCAATTTTGTTAAAACGTAGAGTCTATGTAAAAACGGTAGGGGTGAACAAAAACGTAAAATCGCAAAACGTAAACGAAACGTAAGAGTTTACTAGCGTATTAAAAATAAAATATATATCCAACATATATAAAACCAAAACCCACAAACATGTTTATTTTATAAGAATGTCAATTTTAATCTTTGTTTTAATTTATATAGAATAATTTTAATGTATTAATTATATAAGTTATTAAATTTAAGCTAATTAATAACTATAAATATATATAATTTTTTTTATTATTACGTGTTATATATATATATTTGAACTATGCAAAAAAAAATCATATTACGTTTCGACACTACGTTTGAACCGTTTCTACGTTTCGACACTACGTGTGAACCGTTTCGACTCAAAACCCGTTTCAACTAACGTTTTGACTCGATTTTGGTCATAAAAACGTAGACACGGTCCGTTTTTACGTTTCAACACTAGGTTTTTACAACACTGCTTACTTGAACGACAGAGCTTCGCCAAACAAAAAAACTTACAGAAGTCAGAGCAAAATCCTAGAAAGAATTTAGAGAGACGGAGTGAAATGAAAAAGTGAAGGGGGTATTTATATAGCGGACTGGTCACCCACCATGTTGGGCGTGACTGGAGAAGTGACCCAGCCCCCTAACGCACTTTATCTTAGGCGTGACCTAGCCCCATTCGAGTCCCATTTTGGGCATAACTGTGAGGCGCATCTAAACTCCATTGCGCCTAATTTTGGGCGCGACTGGTTGCTATAAATCCATAAAAAGGTTTCAAATTGCAACTTTTTCATAATTATTTATTAAAAAAGCAAGATTGTAATTTTGTTTGCCTATATATATAATTTGATTAATTCTTTATACAATGGAACAGTAACAATTACAATAGACAAAACATATACGACATAAGGGAAAAATAATTTAGGTCAGAAAACATACTCTAAGCTACACGCCGTCCTATTGCTTGAGTAGCCAAATGAAATTTATCATAGGGCTCTTATTTCACACCAGAGTAGAATATCTACTCGATGCTAGGCCAGGTAATATAAAATAGTAGCTAATTATAACCGTAATGCAGTGGACAATGCTATTTAGTCAGAAACATTCCAATTTTGTTGCCTTTATGCACCATAGTTTCAACATTCTTACAAAACTTTATTTGCAGGAAAACGAATAGATTTCCCTCAATATCACATAAATCCAAAAAGGGGAACCCATTTCTAAGCACAAGTAAGAAGCAATTATGGAGATGGAATCAGAATGTAGTAGTCAATCACTATTTGCTTAACAATCTTGCAAGTCAATAGGCAAAAATATGAAACCTTAATTCCTATATCAGCTAGAGAAAAAAAGAAAAAAAGGAACAGCTCTATCGATCAACAATTCAAAGTGAACTCCTAATAAGACAGAATGCATTAGCTTCAATTGACCAAGAATCAAGGGTCACAAACTAAAATTGGAAGCATATCTCGACCGGTATCTATGTAACTAAAAATTCTTTGGGCTATCGGTTCAGGTTAAAAACTTGAGACAGTGTTCACTCACACAATTCAAAACAACAAGACCACCTTAAATCAAGGCAATTTACTCCAGTATCATATAACTGTCTCACTCGAGTAATTTAAAAGAAATCAATGCAGAATTTCCCACACTAACCAAATGGACAGTATAGCTAATTGATGTTCAAGTCTAGCACTTCACAAACAGTACTTTGAGAGTTATAAGGACAAAACAGATTCAATTTATATGCTATATCCCAAGCTTGATATTAAAGGTAATTTGGTGGCAAGTTACATATATGGCAGTGCAATAGTTCAATACAAGTTAAGTACAAGGTTTCAACACAAATAGCAAAGTAAGTCAACACAAATACACTCTAGTCGTCGAGGAATTATATAGAACAGAATGATAAGATAGTTTCAAGAAGTATGTTCATTCTGTTCTGATCAAAACACTAATACACTCTCAATGAAAGCACCAGTTGAAAATACACATAACAACCAAAAAAACGTTGTTCTGTACCTTTATCCCCAATTTATAACCCTAACTAAAGGGTTGATTAGTTCTACCAAGCAATCACCAGCTATCAACAACCATTTTCTAATTCATGCATTTGAAAAGCAATGCAATCAACAAACTAACAGAATCAAACTAATTACTAACCGAATTTGACCAATACACTTGCTCAATGAATCAGCCTAAGTAGTCTTCATCATCGAATCTTCGAGGTCGTCTTCTCACTGGCTTGGGCGTGTCCACTGGTTCCTTAAGATCGCCTACTGTGCTTTCCCCATCTTCCGATCATTCGAACTTGTTGCAGCTGCTTCTCGTGGAAACCCCCCTCGAAGGAACTTGCTATGATGTGTTCCTGAATGAATTAGGAACCTTGCAGTTATTGCATTGTACTTTCTGATTTTCCAAGTGCAGTGGACGACACTAATCTTGGGGAAATTCCCAAGAGTTAAAGGCTTATTGAGAAGTAATTCTCACTCCTTAATAATAGATGGCTTTTGCAGGCTCAATTGTTGATAACAAAGAAGGCTATAGTGAAAAGTGAACGAAGTTCGATGGATATGTGATGGGATGTTGTTTTGTAAAAAGGAAAATCGTGTTATGTGCCACTTTTAATCTCTGTTTAAAGAATAAACATGTCTATACATTGTGGCTGTCTGGCTGATGTGGGACAGCCTGTTCTGGAATACAAGGATTTGTAGGAAAAAAAATTAATTTAGTATTTTTTAAATAAAAAATTATGAATTTATAGTTTTTTTTTGAAAATAATTACACATTTTTTTGCACAATATCACGCCCAATATAGGCGTCAACCATCACGTCCAATTTAAGCATTACTAAAGAGGCAGTCACGCCCAATATAATGATGGTTGAACTTGGAAGCCTATAATCAAGATAGCTATGAACAAATGCTAATCCATGCGGGTGTATATGAGTCCAACTGAAATAAATATTTTTTTTAAGAATTGAACCGAATTGGTTTCAAAGAATCAATTTATTTATATATTTTTTTATCTAAACCGGTTTGATTTGGTTTGGTTCGATAATGATTCGGTTCGGTTCGAAAACGGTTCGGTTGGTTCAGAATCAATTCAAGTTGAACCTATTATGAACTCAAATCGGTTCTGAAATAGAAGACAACAATTTAATAAAGGCTTTAATGTTTCTACAATGAATGTAGATAAGTTATCTATATTCTGTCTACCAAAAAAAATTTATCTACATTCATTCCTAAAACGATATCGTTTGGGATTGAAAAATTAAAAAGCTATAATAAAAAAGATTATTATAACCCTCAAACAAATTATAATTACAAAAATATCTTGATTTTTGCCTCAAAACGACATTATTTTGGGCTCAATGTAGATAAGTTATCTACATTGATTGTAGAAAAAGCAAACCCTTAAATAAATAAGAGAAGAACAATAGAAAAGGAAAAAAGAAAAATAAATGAAAAGAAGAGGGAAAAAATTGCTCATGTTCAAAAATTGGTTTTTGTAAGAATAGTGTTATTTTATGGTTCTTTTACATATTCCTAAAAGTGGTTTTTGAACTAGTTTTAAGTCCAAATGAAAAATATGAAAATATTGAGAGAGAAAAATATATATAAATAATACTATAAAATTAAATAAAAATAAATAAACAAAGTAAAAATAAGAGAGAGAAATACATAAGAGAAAAAAGAAAAGGAAAAATAAAAAAATTAAGAAATAAAAAAAAGATAAAATAAGGAATAAATAAATAAGGGAAAAAAACAGAGAGAAAAAGATAAATATAAAAAAGAGAAGAAGAGAAAAAATAAATCAGTTCATGATTTTTTAAACCAGTTCGATTCATAAATCAGTTCACTTCAAGAACTAGTTTCTAAGAAGCAGTTCAATTCAAAAATTGATTTTTAAAAATTAGTTTTTTTTAAGTGTTGTTTAGTTCACAGTACAATTTTTTGGTTTTTCGAGGCGGATGATCATATTAAGTGGATAAATCTCTTCCAATAAAATCTTTTTTTATATACACAGTCAGGAATCGAATCCCTATCAACATGCTTAAAAAATTTAATTATCTATCAACTGTGTTGGTTATTATGAATTTTAGATCAATAATAAAATGGGCATCGTTCATATGTTAAGGTAATAGGATTAATCCTTCCATCAATAATAGATCAACTATGTATTATATTCTTTGAATTTTACTCTCTGATTTGTAGTATCCACAACTGCCCCCAGTTTATCCTGATTTAAGGCCATATATCCGCATATTACTCTGTACCTGGCTATTTTTTTGTTAATTTTCCTTGTACCCATCGGCAGACCTGTTTTGGTGCAAGTGTGTGAAAGTGCACACACAAATTTTTGGAAATATATATATATATATATATATATATATATATATATATTGAGTCCTTAATAAAAATTAAAATTACAGGACCCAATTTAATCTCTTCGAGAAAAAAAAAGTCGACTATCGGTCACTCTAAATTTCAAAATAGATCTGATTAGTCGAAATTGTGGTTCCTCTGAAATTCAAAGAAGACCTACATTAGTCTCTCAAAAAAACTAACATGGGTCTATTTTGAAATTCAGAGGGATCACGAGTCAATTTTTTTCTAAGGGGTTAAATTGGGTCCCATAATTTTAGTTGAGGACCCAAAAGGTACTTTATTTTTGTAGTAAGTTCAAGTTTTCTTTTCTTTTTTTGTTTATATTCTTTTGTTTTTTAATATATTTAAAACTTTCTTTAAAAAAAAATTGGGGGCATTGCCACCGAACGCTATCCGTAAATGTGCAGACATAAATAAAATTGCTTGGGTTCGCCACTGCATGTACCCAAATACTTTCCTGTGAGAGACCGCATAAAGAAGTCAATTAATGAACTCAGTTGTTAAAGGATTCAAGAAAATGCCACCCATTTAGATGTAGGTAACACTCTAGATTAATTTAAGAATCCTTAGTACTATTGTGATGAATTAGTTTTAAGCAGTGTTTTAAAACTCAGATTTAACTTGCCAAGTTGATTTGGGTTTCGGTAGTTCGATGATGGCATTGATTCAAGCTAACTATTGGATCAGCCATATAGTTGAATCGATTTTGATTAGGTCAAATGGAACCCGACAGATCAAGCTATTTTTTTCCTTAAATCAATTTTTTTAAATGGGAAAATGATTTTTGCATTTATCACAAATTTCTCTGCCACTCATAGAAAAAGAGGAAGAGAGAAACTAATAAAGAGAGAAAGGATAAATGTAATGGACTCCACTGCTGTTTTATTATTAGTGATAGAAAAATGACTTCTATAATTTTCCATTTTAAAAATTGGAGACAATATTTCGCTTTTAAAAAAGTAGTGTTACCACTTACCATTAGGCTACCCTTGATTGTTGGTCAAAGTATACCTTATAATATATTTATTATATAATTTAATATAAATTTTGGATACAATATTCCACTTTTGACATTGGCTGAGAACGATTATCACCTATGGAAGTGAGTAGTGTTATCACTTACAATTAGATTATCCTCAATTATTAGTCAAAATGTACCTTATAATATATTTATTATATAATTTAATATAAATTTAAGGGGAAAGTTCACCAATGCCCCTGTGATTTACTCCAGAATCACTTATGCACTTGTGGTTTTTTTCTTATCACATATGCCCCTGTGGTTTGTAAAAGGGTATGTTTTTTATCACATATGCCCCTGTAGTTTCTTATTTTTTACAAAGCACAGGGGTACATGTGATAGGAAAAAAACCACAGGGACATGGAGAATTTTTTTTTTTTTTTTGATAACAACATGGATAATTTTGAAGCAAACCACATAGGTATTGGTGAACTTTTCCCTAAATTTAATTAAACAGGTTGAACCATTGTTCATCCCCGGTTGAACCAATGACCAAGTACCTTAATTGAGTCGATGACCGGGCTGAATTTTAAAACACTAGTAAGCATTTCTCTAAGTATGGTAATTAAAAATGTTAAGAAATTAGAATAGATGACAGCTTAGACTAATTGGGGAAAATTGTCATACTAGACTCGGTTCATTTATGATGGGTCAGACGAATACAGGTTAGATTATTATCTTCCGATAAGGCTAACTGGTTTTATATGGATAAAGGATAGATAGAGATAAGAAACAAATATATATATATGAAAAAATGTAAGTTGAAATTACTTGTCCTAAGCTATAGAATTTAAAAAGTGAAATTTAGGAGTTCCTCCTGGGTAACACCAGCCCTCCAATCATAAGGACTTCCGTAGACACTAACTCCTTAAACTGATTTGTTTTAGTGTAATCCTTATATTGTGTGTGATATCATTAGTTATGCTAAATCGATATTCTAAAGGATTTTTTTTTTTGGTAATATAAAGGCCAAAGGACAGAAACTACAAAGCAATCTTATGAGTAAAATTAACTGCTGACATATCAGCTAATAGAAGTAAACTAATTTCATGAGGAGGCTCGTTAAATAGAGATAAGTCTTCATCTTCGTTATGATCCAATAGATAGTTGGACAGCCAATCTGTGTAGGCATTAACTTCTCTAAATGAGTGGGTAATTCTGACATCTCAATCTCTTTGGAACCATGCTCGAATATCCACCAAAAGATTCGATTCTCGAGCCTCATCACCAGCCTTGGTGAGAACAACAACAACATTTTGAGTCACTTTTGTTAGGCTTCCTCCTTCAATGCTAAGCCCAAGCCTATTGAGGGATTTCCTAAAAACCCTAAACCCTAGATCTCACATCTTCTATATATATCATTAGTTGTGGGTGGAGACTATGTTAGATTCAAAGAAAATTATTTGAGAGATTTGTGAGCAAAACTTGGAGCTTTGTATTTGAGAGATCTCTAGAGAGAATTTGAGTGAAAATTCTCTAGAGAAGTTTGATTATCACCATTGTTGGAGAGATTGTGTTAACCACCACTTTGGTGAATTTTGATTCTTTGTATCCATTATTTTCATAGTAGACGTTTGAACTAGACTAGGTCCCGTGGGTTTTTACTTCTTCATTGGAGAATGTTCTCCCACGTTAAAATCTGTTTGTGTTCTCTTTCTCTCTCTCCCCTTTGTATTTTGTTTTTCCACTGCGCTGCCCGACCTGGTGAAGTTCAGGCCGAGGTAAGATTGCCGAGATCCGATATACAGGATCTTGTTGACTGACTTCCGAAAAAAGGCTTCTGAGCTGAGTTGAGGGAACCGAGTTCCCAACAGTGGTATCAAAGCCCGAGTTCGACGGGTTCTGAAGGAGACGAGATTGAGACCAGTGGCATAACTCATGATGGAGATATGTTCAAGCTAACCGCAGACAATTTTACTTATTGGAGACCGATGATGGAAGATCATCTCTACTGCAAAGATCTACATGAGCTCATTATCCTTGATGAGAGACCGGCAGGCAAAACTGATAAGGAGTGGGAGATCCTGAGTCGTAAAGTGGTAGCCATGATCAAGAAATATATTGACAAAAGCCTATTTGAGCACGTGTTTTAGTTCACGAACGCGTACGAGTTGTGGACGAAGCTGGAGTCCATAATTCAGAAGAAAACTCCCAGGAAC